AGTTAAAAAACAAAGATACAAAGTCAATGTACAGCAGGATTAATAAAATGTTCCCTATTGCTAGCAAAGAAGACAAACACGTTAATTGTCTGCATTTAGTCACTTCAGCTGCTTCTCAGTTAAAACATCCTGCTTTTGAATAAGACCTTATTCGAAGATGGAACCTTTGCAGGTTCATCATCTCTTTGTCAGCATGTGTGATAACATAATACTTCTACAGGCTGGTACTATGATAACAATGAGAATGGAAAACTAAGTGTTTATATTATATTACATATTGTTTAAATATGCTGCATAGCAGACTGTGAAATTGGTTATTAAGATTGCTAATGGCTATTCAAATGAATGTTCGCTAAAATACTGATGTTTACAAAATAAATGTGCCACAGCGTGATTTATTTTCATCGCTCCCTACAAGATGTTCATTTTGATGAATTAATATATTATGGGCCAACATATTGCATTAGGGGACCGTCAACAAACTTGTTGTCAATGAAAACAGACACTTGAGAAGATTGTTTTCTCTGCAATTATATTTACAATAGCTGTGTCTGAGATCAGACAAGTGCTTTTCAAGACTCACTATGAAATGTTCTTTCTGGGCTATTGACTGTAATATTCTGTGTTGGAAAAGATGTTAATTTAAATGTATAATGAGCATTTGTTTATCATTTCACTTATTACAGTTAGTTTAAAATATTTCACCCAATAGAAGTCAACTCCTTTCAAAACTTTTTTGGTATTGGGCAGGTACTAGCAGGTTGAATCACCTGCAAGCTTCTAATATTCCTTAGAGACACCAATGGTAGGATTTCCCCTTCCCACGCAACCATAGTTTTGGTGTCCCTCACTCACTAGACTCCCCAATTATTGATTTACTGAGCATTGCAGAGAATTCATCAAGTTGTGACACCATCATTTAACTTTGTAATAGCTGTGAATTGTGGTGGGATAATTTCAGTGCTGATCTCCCAAAGAGATCTAAGACGGCAGCATATGATTTCATTACAGCAACCATGCTGGTTGAAGTTAGCCTTTATAATCAGTGAAAATTGAATTAGGTGAATCACCAGTTTACTGAGTTTGGGGTTTATTGAACGTTTGCAGCAGATATGGCTAATCTGTAGGGAATAATGGAATTTTGAAATCTGGGCAATTGTTATTCATGACTGGTAATCTGTGCAGTGGACAAGCCTGTATGCATATATTTTGGAGAGCCAAAAAAATTCAATTTCTTTGCATATTGATTTGCTCATCACCATTCTTTTTAACAGTCCCCTCACTCTCTCTTCCATTTCAGATTTTTAATATACTCCATAGCACTGTGCTATTGGCCAATCAGTTGTATAATTTTGTTTTCCTCTTTGTTAGTACACTAATGGGCTTATTCTGTAATGCTGAGATATAGCGTATGAAGTGCAGTAACCATCACAACCAATTAATATTCATGTTTGAATTATGTTCCCCAGCATGAAATCTAACTAAATGCTATGGATTACTGTGTTTTGCACATAACTCTAGCTCTTTTCCCTGTTTTGTAGTACACATCTTAGTTAGTGCCCTTTTTACATATTTATAAATTATCTGTCTCCTGCTTGTCCTTGAGTTTCAGGGTTTTTTCCATAACATACATTAATAACTTGTCTTATACATAAGATCTTGTGCAAATGAACTTTGTATCTTAAAATATCTCTCAGCATTCCAGGAACACATAAAATCACATAAATCCTAAAAGGTAATATGGTCTAAAGCCAAACATCCAATCAATACATTTTCCTATTTTAGAAAGCATGTTAGTAGAATTAATTGCTTCCACCTGCAGTAGGACAAGAATATTTAATCATGAAAAGTGATGTGTGCAAGATCTAAATTTTAGATATAGGCAGATACTGAGTGCTTAGATAGCAAATCCAGGCAACACTCCAATGGACTCTGCGTTATATTCAATACACATCATTACAACTGTCCTATAGCCTGCTG